ATAGATAGATAGATAGATAGATAGATAGATAGATAGATAGATAGATAATTTCATTAATAATACAAAATCTTTACACAAAAGTTTGAAATGAATTATGTTCAAATTCAGTCGTTTAATTAAGCATAGTAACTTGGTTTGAGGCACTTTAAGACAAAACTTATCAAAGACATTTCTCATGGATAGATTCAAATACCTCATTTGTCATTGTTGAGGCGCGCGTAAAGGCCTGCATTGCATAGGGACTCCTTGCTCTGAACATAAGAAAAGTCTCGAATGATGCCCGGGAAGGAATGTGAGTCCATGGGCGGACGCAGAGCCAACATTGGCATCAGTCCCGATGTCATGTAGGGCGACATAAAACCGCTTGTGGGAGAGTAGGCCAGCCGCAGGGGACTGACGCCCAGGCGAGGGCTCAGCCCGTACAGGCTGTCCCCCCCAGGGGCCGGTGGCGCATGCAGGGGGGAGAAGGCAGACTTGCTGCCCAGGGCTCCGGACAGTCCAACAGAAGGCCTGATCGGACTCGGAAGTGTAGACGTAGATAAACTACCACTATCAAGTTTGTTGTCCTTGGAGCTCAACACTAGCTCAATGGATTTCACAATATCACCTTTGCACGTTTTCACCATAGACTCCAAGGTGTCGCGCTTCTGATTGGGGAAGATCCTCGCCATGATGTCGGTGGGGTCGCGCTCCACAGACTGGTTGGGTTTCTCTGACTCGCTGCCAGACTCCAGATCGGACGAGGAGAGCGAGCCCTGGGGACTCCGGGTGTGTTCTGAGAGCCGGTCGCACAGCGGCGGTGACCCTCCACCGTCCCCTTTGAGTGGAGCCGAGTGGTCCTCGCCTGGAGACGGCTCGTTTTTGTCACTTGGAGAGGGCGCCCGTGCGTTATGATGTGCAAAGAGGGTTCGACCCATGAATCCGTTGTAAATATTGTATTTACTTAGTTTGTCATCTGCAAATGGATGAACATAAAGATAAGTGATGCTTGAAAAAACTATCCAGGGTTAAGTCTGCGATAAGCTGTGCGTAAAACGCCCACATTAATAGAGTTGCCATCCGTAAAACATTTCCCTCACAATAACACAATCACAAATAGAATAAACTAAACGACTACTATTACTACCACTCAAATATTATTGAGATCAACTCACCATCTTTATGATTCTGAGCTCCAAAAACGTCAAAGTTGGGGGCTGCTGGAGTGCTGCTGGTGGATGCTGGCACCCCGGTGCCTAAATGTGACCCCTGAGGGATTCCTGCCTCACCTCCAATCGCTGAACTGGGATACAAAATCCGGAGTTCTCGGGCTTCGCTCTCCTCCTGCGCTTGTTGCCTCCTCAGTGCAACCTGTGCGGCCATCACCCGCTGCCTCTCCGCTATTAGGGTACACTTTGCGCAAACACAGTCTCTCCAGCGGCAAAAGCGCTTGTGCCCTTTCAGCGCAGAGACGACGCCGTGGTTCCTGCATCTGGCGCACTTCGGGGTCCGGGGATATCCCCTATCTAGCGACGGGTTACAGGACCGTAGGAAGAGAGGCGGAGGGCGCAGGAGTGAAGGTGGCATTTGCAAGCTACCGAGAGGATTGGCGGGGAGCCCGGACAGGCTGAGGGGTCTGATCCTGCTCTCCATCATTTGAGAGGATGCAAAAGAAAACGGGGGGGAAATCGTTTCTGAAGTTAATAGTGTAGTAATTTGGGCAATCTGGCCTTCTCTGGATTACTAACATCTACTGCTCTGGCACCCTGAAGCAGCGCGCTTTAAGTGCCTCCACTCCAGGTGGTTTGACATGAAATTCAACACTCTTGACACACCCCTTTCCGCTCTGGCCTCTTAATACCCTATCATGTTTATTTGCATCCCGGATGAATAGTGGTCTAATCTTATGCAACTGAGCCTATATGTGCAAGAAAACCAGATGCCTACCAAGATCACAATGTGTGACCTTTCCAAAATCTTACAAGTTTACGCTAAAGTTTAAGATCCTGTGGGAAAATGACAACTCAATGAGGTCAACCTGCCACAAAGCAGAAAATTCAAGTAGAAAAATAGCATGCGGCCCCAGGTCAGCTTCACACAATTACCCCCTTTGGTTTCCCTGAATATTCATCGTTTGATTGTTTTTAACACAACAATAGTCCTAATAGCTACAACAGCAACATGTAATTATCCACCTGGTTATTCTGCCGAAATAATTACCTTGACAGAAGACCCATCTGCCAACAAGCACTCAATGAGATAGCTAATCACACCTTGTCACATGTTTCATTCAATTCTGTTAATTCCATCAGGGTCCGGTTATGCACGCGGTAATTCCTCACCTCTTTCTCATTACTCGAGAACAACTTTGGCATGAAATGACAATCATGCCTTTGTCACCAAGGGAGAAATATCTGAAACCCTGCTAGTCCTGCTTTCACACGTCTCTTCCAACAATTATTTGTGTGGACATAATAACAACCCCCCACACCCTCGACAGCCCTGTTACTGATACAATGATCCCATTTACTGCTCTGTAAGGTGTTCTTATTAATCATCATGTCCATGCTTACAGTTAGTGTACAGTTTCAGGTAGCCCGAGCTGTCACTGCTAACCGAAGCCGTTAAGGTGAATAAAATGTTACTAATGATACTACACTGGGCTGTTAGATATCTCCTAATCATCTTGAACGAGACATCAGGGCTACTCATGGTTTCCCTGGAGTTCAAACTCCACTAGACTCTTTCTGAATAATGAATGTGGTGTAAAGAAGAAGTAGAGGGAAAGACTGTGTCCCCCCGTGGTGCTTTATTCAGATAATGATTCCCTGAGGGGCATCTCTGAGGAAGATCTGCAACAGCAGAGGAAAAGGGAAATTGTTTGTGATTTGATGCCGACACGACAGAAGAGTTAGCGCTGCTCTGGCAGGACTGTCGGCTTTTCTGATAGAGGATGATAACTGTTATTGAATCCAAAACCTCTGAGTGACGGATGATGGCACATTTTTCTCTTCTTCTTTACACCGGAGTCTGTGCCGTCATTCCCTTATGGGCGATGGATCTTATCAGAAGAATAGCTCCACCTCTGAGCAGAGTCTATATGCACAGTTGCACACTGACAATCGCACACGTAAGGAGTGCAAACACACTCTGCAAAACTTTTGAGCATTTCTTGTGCACCTTGAGAAGGGAGATTGCTATTTGCAGAAAGATGTACCAGCAGTTATGGGCCCTAATAGATAGGGGTTGGTACAGGCTAACTCCAGCTGTGCAGCACAGGAAGATAATCTGAATTGCATCCGTCAACACAGAGCGCATTGCCTAAAAACACAAATAAATGCCAGTGATGCAGATGCTGTGTGAATGCACACACTGTTTTTTTATCATTTCATCCACTGTGAAGGGGAATTTAATGTTTGGATTTGCAGCTGGCAAGTTTATCCAGACACATTAGGCTGATCCCACCTGGCTTTTTCACCACTTAGGCTTTATCTATGAACCAGTTACACCCATTTACTGACATGGAGGGTGTCAGGAAGCAACCCCACATAAGCTCTAATGATTGTCACTACTAAAGAGCATATTCAGCTTTTAGAATTGTTCTTGTTATGCAATTATTACACTTTTTCAATCACATGAGAAACAATACTAGCTTAAAGAATAGTTTTAAATGATTTCACATTATATAGTATTTTTTGTGATACCCTCTGATTATGATCTAATACACGGTGAAGACGTCACCTTTATCTCTACCATATGGAACACCACAAGTCCACTCCCACGGTTGCATGGATTATCAAGTTTTAGTCAGAATTCGTCATCTTCCTCTTCAACACAGAACGAAGAGATCAGAATGGATAAGTAGAGTTAAGGGAGATATGGCTAGACAGTGTTTTAATTGTGTTCTAAACAGATTTGTTCATGTCAGATATGATATTGCATCACAGCCATGTGCCTCCCAAGACAGCTTTTTATCAGTGCAGCTTCTTATCTGAGGCAAGGTGGCTGCTAATCTACGCATGAATCTTGCTAAACCTGATTATGTGTCCCACTGGCAAAGGGATGGTAGGAGGAGGATGGAAAGTTAAGAAGATAAAGCTGAAAGAAAGACGAATCTTCCTTAAATTATAACTGGGCTTCTTTGCTCATCGCACATTATAATATCAGGTTTTCCACAGAATTCAGGAACAATGCTTTGTGAAAAGGTTTCGTTGCGACAGAGAAGCAAAATCTTGCGACAATTTTGGCTAAAACATTTCAGTGCCTTTAACTTTCAGGGCTCCAGCGTTGCCTCTGAAAATACAGCACTCAAGTTACAACAAATTCCCCTCTCTCAGCATGCACGGGGCCCTGACCTTTTATGTGTTTGCTCTCTCATCTGTCACTTCACACCCTTGTTATTTAAGTGCCACACAGTAGCTCCCACTTCACCGCCGCCGCTTGAATGGTCACCAGTGACGGCCAGGCTGTTTAAATTGTTTTGGTGTAGCACATTCCGAAACAGTAATTCGCCTTTTTGTATGAATGTTGCTTTCCTTTTATGTAGGTTACATTTTGGTCTGTTAAGACACTGGTTTTGGCTCGATGTGACGTTTGTGGCCCCAAAAGAGTTCAATAAAGAACTTTGCTTTTAGTGAAGCTTTCAAAAGTGTTTTCTGTTTGTTTCTTTTACGGGTATGGGGATGTTGACTGGTGCTGTGCTGTTGGACTTGTTGTCTGCTTACTTACACTTTTGTGTCTTTACAGAGACTTTCTGAAAGCAATCTCCCCTGAAGTAAAACTAATAGATCACATCAAGGTCCAAAAATTCACAAATATATGTGAGATTTCTCCCAGAATGAATCTTTGTGACATGTATTCAAAATAACTGCCTGAAGCAAGTTATAATGACATATAGCTAGGATCACCAGTCACTTAGCATGTTAACCATGTTAGTATGTGGTAATCTGATTATTTGAAATATCATTGGGAAACTTGGGAAATGTTTTTTAGTTACCTTACTTGTACCTTTGTAGGGGACACATTCAAAAGTGAGACAATTTAAAAGACATTTGACAATAGGTGCAATGTTTCATTTGAGGCAACAATCTGATCGGAGGCCTATGAAATTTCTTGCACATTGATTTATAATCCAAATTCTCTCTTTTGACATTCTGTACTTAAAAAGGCTGTTTTCTTTTGTTGAAAGCAGTCTTCAGAAACAGTTCTCCACGCTTCTTGAAGGACATCCCAAAGCTCTTCCTCTAGTCTGGCTGCTTCTCCCCCTCCTGTGGATAATTAATCACTACACAAGACTTGCTACTAGTGATTTTCAGATGTTGGATCGGTTTAAGTGCCTCAGATTTTTCTGCTCTCATCTCTTTCTTTTTTGTCATGTCCACCCTTCCCAAAGCATTTCTGAGGGGATGGACCCAGGAAAAGACAAGACAAATCACTCAGGTTCTGGTCTGGTCTTTGTGGGATGTTCTTTTTTATTCTTAAGACATATGATTAAACACGATACTTTGTGGGATTAAAATGCATCGGCGGTTATTTCTGCTTATGTGGTGCACATCAAAATCACAGTGTAGAATTAGGGAAGTTATTTCCCCCCCCATAAAGATAACTGGCATCCCGTTTCACAATATACAGGTGAAGCGACACTCTTATACACACACCTGTGCATTTGAATAAAGGGGACAATAGATTGTCCTCCAATTCTATACCACTTTCTTTGACTCTGCATTCTGCTATCTTCTGCCATCTTCGAGTCCCCTATTGGATATTCCGTCATTTACTCTGTGTCTCCTCTTCTCACACCTTTATTGGTGGTCTGTGTCTGGTAGGTATCCATCAGGGCCCCTCACTTAGCCCTGCAATGCCTCAGTGCCATTGAACAATGGTGGGCCAAAGACTGTCAAGTTTGCTTGTGTGTGGGCGTGGGTGGGTGATCTATGTGTGCACCTATGTCGGTGTTTTAATCATGCATATTACACCTGCATCAACATGGTACATCTACAGTATAAGGAAATGCAGGTTCATTTTTTCATGCTGGCTCAAAGCCGAAATGCTTGCGTGTGCATTAACGTGTGTTATGTGTTAATGAGTTTGAGTTGGGGGATGCTGGGGTACGTTATTAGTTCGAGAGGCTCTGGTTGAATGCCAGTGAATGCAACCTTCACTGTCTAAACAGGTTAAGATTGAGGTAAGAGAGTTCCTTGTTCTGTGCTTACTCTGGATGCACTCTCTATTTGTTTCCTGTCACTGAAGCTTTTTTTATTCAATGATACACTTACAAGGAGAGCTTTGCAGCTCAACAATGCATAACTCAGTGGCAGAGGAGCACAATCCTCTGTGAAGGATTTAAAGAATCAGGTTTCAAATGTTTCTTTATGAAAAAGTGCCGCAGAAGAAGACAACAATGGGGAAATGGGCATGGAAATAATGAAGGGGGAAAGAACTATTTGTAAGTGCTTTGCAAATATAAATGTGCATGTAAAAAGCACTCTGTGAAGTTAGTGAGCACTGATGCTTGATTGATGGGTATAGAAAGGTTTTGTGTGGCTTTTAGGGTGGCGAATTTGAACGTTTACTTAGCTTTCAAACAAGCAGAGTGGATTGATTGCATTCAATCACTCAGCTAAAACCTGTGTGGCCTGTATTCACCTCCAGTCAGACTTCCAAAACATTGTTAACAATCTTTTGAGTGCGAGGATTTTTCACCATCATAATGAGAACATTTATTTTATCCATTTGTTTATTTTGATAAAGAAATTTACATCAGCACTG